AAAGCAACACCAGCAGCCAACAAAAGGTACTCAGGGAGCCAGCCAGTATGGGTGGGTGGAATCCAAGTAACACTGGGGTAAAGCTGGTGCTTCCCAGCCAAGAGACTGTGGCTGCAGGAAGCAGAGGAGGCTAAGTGGGGGTGAAGAAGGGTGGGGGGTGGGAAAGCCTATATCGCTGGTTACTGGTTGTTCTGCTTTCTCATACCCTCTGTTCGCTGATCTCTGATAGGAGTCCAAAATGGCGGATCCGTGCTGCAGTAGCTGATAGGGGCCCTCTGCACGTATCTCTCCTCGCTATCTATTCTTGGTCAGTTTCTTATTCCATTTGGTGCTTGGCTGAGTTCTTTATCTCTTCATTTGATGCTTAGGGTTTCAGGATTGACGTGTGACTCTGTCTGACTTAGTTTTTCTGATCTTTGCTGTGGAGAGACGGCGTGGTGCTTTGACTATAGCGCCATGTTGCCTGAAAGTCCCACCAGCAGTATTTCTGTTATAGCAGCACTAGTTGACTAAGACACAGGGGAAGTCAGCACAACTGGACCAAAGCAAAAGCTAAGTTTCCTGAACACATCCAAACACTTTGAGGGACAGAGAAGCTGGGGCTGGGGCCTGGGGACCATAGTTTTGAGGGACATCAAGGTCAATTGGCATAACAAAGTTTTTTAAAATGCTCTGTATCCTATTTTGGTGATTGACATCTGGGGTCTTAAAAGCTTGCGAGCAGCCATCTGAGCTGCGTCGATTGGTCCCAACTCACTTGGAGCAAGGGAGAATGAAGAACACCAAAGACACAAGGAAAATATTAGCCCAAGAGACTAAAGGCCCACATAAACCAGAGACTCCATCAGCCAGAGACCAGAAGAACTAGATGATGCCTAGCTACCACCAATGACTGCCCTGACAGGGAACACAGCAGAGAGTCCTGGATGGAGTGGGAGAAAAGTGTGGAGCAGAGCTCAGATTCTAGTAAAAAGACCAGACTTAATGGTCCGACAGAAACTGGAGGAACCCGTGAAACTAAGGCCCCTGGACGCACTGTTAACCCAAAACTAAAAACCATTCCCGAAGCCCACTCTTCAGACAAAGATTAGACAGGAGTGTAAAACAAAAACTACACGTGAGGACTGTGCTTCTCAGTTCAGTTAGACACAGGAGACCGAATGGGTGGCTCCTGTCCAGAAGCAGGATGAGAAGGCAGGAAGGGACAAGAACTGGTTGAATGGACACAGGGAACCTGGGCTGGAAAGGATTGTGATGTCACATTGTAGAGATTGCAACCAATGTTACATAACAATGTGTGTATAAATTTTTGTATGAGAAACTAACTTGAGCTGTAAACTTCCACCTGAAGCACACACAGACGCACGCACACACACACGCACACACACACACAGAAGAGGTGTACACTGTATGTACTGCTATGGAAGGATGGAAGGATGTCTGGGACATATTGGTAAGTGGAAAAAGCAAGTATGTAATATGAGCTCACTTCTGTTAGCAAATGATGTGTGTGTGTGAGTGTGTATATGGATACACACACATTTTATGGGCCAACAAACAAACCAAAAAAGTTTGGTAAATAAGACAACTTTAAGTAAGAAGAACCAGGCTGGAGAGCATAGTGTCTTACCAGGGATCAAGACTTACTGTTAAGCTCTAGTAATTAAAACATGTGGTGTTGACACAGGAATGGAGAGATAGGTCAAGAGAACATAATAGAGGGCTTAGAAATGAAGCTTTTGCTGTAACAGGAGCAGAAACCAATATTCCAAGAATTGAGAAGAACTATGATTCATCAGTTGTGTGACACTTTTGTTAGTGATCTGTCACCAATTTTTTTTTGTCTCTAATACATTTAAAATTTAAATTATGTGGGAGGTTTACATTTTTATTTGTTACATTTACATCACATCAGTATAGAGCCTGCATAGCAAAAGATATATCCATCTAACCTGACAGATTTCTCCTCTTAGAATTCAGCTGTTTCAGAAAATTCAGCTGCAACATTTGTAAGGACCATCAGAAGGAAATGTGAAGGGACAGAATAAACCCGTAGCAACCTCCTCTAGTGACCACAGTGAAGTACATAGACATCTGTAAGACAACATCATAAAGAACCTGCTTGGCCACGGGCCTTGTATTGCCTGTCTTTTTTAGCAGGATACAAAAGAAACAATTATAATAACATTTTTTTTTATTGATAAGGCACTGAATTATAAATAATTTACATGAATTCTAATTTAATATTCAAAGTACACTTAACAGGTGGATAATACTATTTTCGTTCTGTAAATAAACTGAGACTTAGTGAAATTAAGAAAACTATCCAAAGTCAGACAATTTGGTGTTTAATCCTTAAAATGATTCCCTAGAGAGTTCGGTAATCCTAATTTGAGATAAACTGGTCATCATTATTCAAAGGCTGTTTGCAGATTGAAACTCATTCTGTATAAGTAGTAATTGCAATTAACGGTTCATTTTATCAACTGCATTCACTTGCAAGAGTTCAGGTGTTCTGCAAGGGCTGTAGTGTTCCTGGAGTTTGGGACACCAAAAAAGAGGATATCAGAGAAAACCATCCATTTCCTCGAAGTCATTATTTTTATAAAAGGATAAAAAGTGATGTTTGTATTTTCAAAGCTTTTTATTTCAAAGAAATTTGTCATTTCTCACAGCAGCCTTCAGACATAAGCAGGGCAGGGAGCATGCTTCGTGTTTTACGATGAGCAAAGAAAGCTCAGCAAAATGCCTAAGATTGTATAGTCAGACACATCTACAAGGATTAACTTTACGAGTTTAGAAGAGAGATCACTGTGGGCTAGAGGAGGCAGATCTTGGGCTGGTCTTAAAGAATGCAGGGCTGAGAAAGAGAGGCTATTGGAAGTACAAGAGGGAAGCAGACATGCCAGGTGGAGTGAACAACAGGTGCAAGGGCAAGGGAGGCCAAGAATAAGTTGGAACTGAGATGAACGTTGCTGTCCTGTCCCACTTGGAGTTTTCAACTCACAGGCAGCATTCTGGCTAATCTAGGTCCTTGTTAAGATTTTACTCTAATTTAAGAGATCTGGGGCTTTGCGACAGTGGGTATGCATGCAACATGGATTCAATTTGACTGTTTTGAATGCAGTCTGAAAAATCATAGGCCTTCTGGCATGCCAACATGTTGCCTGAGAACTTGGAGTTCTTTTCCAGATGTTTCCAAAAAGACCAAAGATGGCATCACAATACTTGGAAGCTAAATCAGAGTTCTGAGTTGCAAGCCTCAGAAACAGACACTGAGTTACTTAAACAGGAAAGGAATTTATTACAAGACTGTTGGTTTAATTCAAGGGAGTCTGTGGCTGGTGCAAACGGTTAACACGCACACCTGCTAACCGAATGGCTGGAGGTTAGTGGGTGCCTTGGAAGACAGGCCTGGCAGTCTACTTCCATGAGTCGGAATTGACTCAACAGCAACTGGTTTTTAGTTTATTAGTTTTGGAACACAATCAACCAGAGACACAGTTTCCTCGGAAACCTGAGAGGACCCAAGGGAGGCTGGGAAGCAGGAAGCACAGCCAGGGTCACAGCACCTATGCCACCACTGGGCACCACCGATGCTGGATACGTAGGACCACTGTGGATCAGTGCCAGCACTGCTGCCCTGAGTAAATTCTAAATCGTTCTTACATCTCTGTATCGCTCCCTCAGTATTCAAAGACCAGGTAGAATGGTACAATGGCTGAGTCTAGGTCATGAGGAGAGAAAGGATCTCCCTACCTAGGCTTTTTTAGTGAGAGGTGGGACTCTTCTCTGGGTTCCACTAGTACAACACTACGAGGATATAACGAATCCTCACTTTTTCCCTTCCCTGTTTAGTTCAGACACCAGTTGCCCATGCAGCAGTTCTTTCTCTGACCCCAGCCACCCAAAGCTAAGTCAGATCTCACAAGTTAAAAGGATATAGTCCTCCAGACTGCCAAGTAGGCCCCAGACTTCAGACGCCAACCAGAAGCCACAAGGTCTTGGGGACACCCAACTTCAGACTTGCTGGCTACAAGTTTGGTGTTTTCCCACTACCCCTTTCGAATACCAGCTACAAGCTGGGGGGTGGGGCTGGCCCCTCTCACTTCTGACCTGCTGGCTCTGACTACTCCTTTGAGTTCGATAATTCACTGGCATGACTCACAGAACTCACAGAAAGTGCTGTGTTTATGATTACAGGTTTATTGTAGGAAAAAAGGATACAAATGAAGAGATGCAAAAGGTGAGGTCTGAGTCAGTTCCCAATGCAGAGCTTCCATGTCCTAAAAAGGGACGTGCTACCCTCTTGTGCATAGATGTCTTTCACCAACTAAGAAGCCCATGGAGCTACTGTGTCCAAAGCTTTCATTGAGGATCTCATTATGTAATGCAAACTCCAGCGCCTTTCTCCTGAGGTGGGTTGACATCACTAGGTGATCTGCGGCATTACAAGGTGGAGCTCTCTGGCCCAGTCACCATGATAATCATCATGAGGCAGGTCCCTCTGGCCTGGCAGATCTGTAGTCCTTACTGAGGATACTTAAGCAATTAGGGAAATTCCAAGGTTTTTTTGTTTGTTTTCTTTGGGGGGATTATGTCTCAGTAATGAGGACAAAGATCACATCATTTGGCTAAAGATAATGAACCCCACAAACACGTAATGAGTCATTCTCTCAAAACAGGGAGGGAGATTCGGATGCTAAACCATCCCCCAACCATCCCCCAAGTAAATGAGAGAATTAGATTCCAAAGTAATTTGTTTTATTTCTTTCTAAGAACCTGGGCGCTTTCCTGGGGTTGTGGATGTTTCTGGAGCTGCAGGTGGCCTTTGGGAATACCGAGCTAGTCTACTGGCTGGGAAGGGTTTTGCTGTGATGGCTCTGGCTTATTACAACTATGAAGACCTCCCCAAGGGCATAGAGACCCTCCACCTGGAGTACTTTGAAGAAGCCGTGAACTACCTGCTCAATCGCCCTGAGGTTGGCTGTTTTCTTAGTCTTTTGGTTTAGATAGCAGGTTCCTGAACATCTCCCCTACCCAAGGTTAAATTAGTTTTCAACTCAGTCTCCTGAGGATCATGGGTATTCTGTGATAAACTTAAATTTTTAGTCTCTTTCAAATTCACAGAAAAAAGTAAACTTCTGAGCTGGGAGGTGTCTCAGGGCAGAGGCTTGGTCAGACACCTGATATTTGATCCCAGGTAGGGTGACCAAACGCCCTGGTTTGCCCAGGACCGAGAGGTTTCTTGGGATACACGTCTTTTAGTGCTAAAATCAGGATTGTTATTGACCATTGTGATCCATAGGGTTTTCATTGGCTAATTTTTCAGAAGTAGGTCACCAGGACTTTCTTCTGAGGTGCCTCTTGGCAGATTCAAACCTCCAATCTTTTGGTCCCAGGAAAACCAGGGTTGGTCAGCCTTGAAGCATCATTACTTTGTGGCTATGTGAACTTGGCTATATTCCACAACCTGGATAAGCTTGTCTCCCACCTTCAGGTTTGTTGTGAGAGTTAAATGGTGTCAAAAATAAACAACTCAGGACATCACTAACAGATAGCTATGCAAGTTTAACAGATAATTTACAACTGAGCAATATGTCAATACAGAGCAAATCAGTGTTCTGAATAATTAAGATCTTTAGGGTGCTTATATACAATTTTACCAGAAACTTAGAACAAAATATTTTTGATTGGCTGAAGATTATATCAGAATACATAAATATTAGAACAATATGTGCTCAAACATTATCAAAACTTATTTAAGGACCTTGCTAAGACAATCACAAGATCAGTGAGCCATGGTTATAAGACCTCTGGATGGTTGGAAACAGGACATGTTCATTAATCTTTTACTGTTTTCTGAAGAATAAGGTTCCAGTGTTTCAGTGAGCCTGATCACCTAGATACAATTAAGTGAAACAAGACAAATTACTGCTGAAGGTTATTTGTTTAAGGCGTAGCTATTTGTTGTTAGGTGCCGTCGAGTCAATTCCAACTCATAGTGACCTTATAACTACAGGCATTAAAAATTATATATTTGTAATTATACAGCACGTAGTTCTGACATTTAATAAGATGACCTTTAGTGTCATGGGTAAGAGAACTCTGTTTTTATAAAGCAAAGCTTACAATTTTATTTCACAATAGATAATGCTTGTGAAGCCCTTGAAAGGAGGCCTGACATTTGGTAAACATTTACTCATTCATTCCACATACACTAGTGGGTCTGTTAAGTATGAGGTCCTGAGCTAGGTACAGGGTATACTGAAGTGAGAGAGACAAAGTTCATGTCCACATGAAATTAGAGTGCAGTGTGGGGACAGGGGAGGAAGGGATAAGCAAAAAGTAATTATAAAATTCAAAATGAGAAGAAGTAAATTAACAGAACACTGAGGCAGAATATTGGAACTGAAAGTGGATGGGGCTACATGGAGAGATCAGGAAGAGCCTCATTTAGCTAAGATTGAAATGTTACCTACTACTCCTACTACTATTGCTATGCGTCGGAATTGACTCGTTAGCAAAAGGTTGTTTTTTGTTTTTTGTTTTTTACTAATCGGGCAGTGTTTTGTTCTGTTGTACATAGGGTCGCTGTGAGTGGGAACGACTCAACGGCACCTTACAACAACAACAGTAACTACTGCTACTACTGTTGCTGTTCTTAGTTGTCTAGGAGATAATTCTAGCCATTAAATTTTCTTAAAATTTTTGGTACCTGCTACCACTTATATATTAGAAACAAAATAAATGTGTGTAATAATGATTTAGAAGCTACTAAACAGACTTAGATTGATACTTTGACTTTTTCATATATATTTGGTTATGATTTTATACTGTATGCATATACGGTGTCTGCTAAAAAATGATATTTAATTACCTTAAATGTTCTTTGAAAAACTTATTAATTTCAGGAAGAAATATTTTCTTCAAAGTACATCCCTCTCCTCCCCAGAACATACACATGCATCTTGGAATCTTACCCACAAATGGAATGCTACTTAGGTTCACCTTAAATTTCTTCAGATTATCATGAATTTATGTGAGTGAGGAGCCCTCCGAAGTGTAAAGGCACCATAGACTAGATATAAAACATTTTTTGGATATGTCTGAGTGCTATTATTGGCAAGCATCATGTTAAGTGCTTTACACCTGATTTCTCATTTGATCTTCACATGGACTCTGTAGAATAGAGATTAGCCTCATTTTAACGATGTGGAAACTGAGCTTTATAGAGTTTTAAAAACTTCCCTAAAGCTAGGATATTGTAGAGCCCAAATTCAGGCTCAGTTATACCTGACTTCTAAGGCAGGCCAATCCCACCACACTACCCTGTTCGCGGATTCACTCTCCTTCTCTTGCCTCTGTTTCTTTCTCAGGTAAAGGGTCCAGGACTTGGGCTGCTTGGAATTTCTAAAGGGGGTGACCTCTGCCTCTCCATGGCCTCATTCCTGAAGGGCATCACGGCTGCCACCATAATCAATGGCTGTGTGGCCAATATTGGGGGAGTCTTACACTACAAAGACGAGACCCTGCCCCCCTTGAGTGCCAACCGAAATCGAATCAAGGTGACCAAAGATGGCGTTGTAGACATCACGGATGCCCTCAATAGCCCTTTGGAAGGCCCTGACCAGAAGAGCTTCATTCCTGTGGAAAGGGCTGAGTGTACCTTCCTGTTCCTTGTTGGTCTGGATGACCACAACTGGAAGAGTGAGTTCTATGCTAATGAGGCCTCTAACCGCTTACAGGCCCATGGTAAGGAAAAGCCCCAGATCATCTGTTACCCAGGGGCCGGGCACTGTATTGAGCCTCCTTACTTCCCCAAGTGCTGGGCTTCCCTGCACGCCTTGGTGGGCAGTCCTGTCATCTGGGGTGGGGAGCCCAGAGCTCATGCCATGGCCCAGGTAGATGCTTGGAAGCAACTCCAGGCTTTCTTCCACAAACACTTAGGTGGTAAAGAGGGGAAAACCCCAACAAAACTGTAACCTTTTATTTGATTTTGTGGCATCTCTGATGCTAATATGTCCTGAGAGCAGCCGCCACAATTAGTGTGCATGTGTTCAGTAACTACTTCTACCCCCACGTACTGTTAAAATGAAAACGATTATCTACTGTGGAAGAAAAGCATATAATATAAAAAATATTACAATATCAGATTTGAGTTCCTCCTTTAAGGATGGTAGTTAACATCTTAGCTGTAAATTGATTACGAGTTAGATGTAAAACTACTAAAAAATTTCAAAGCAAATAGTTTTTAGTTCTTTGATATCTTCTCCTTGGATGAATAAGGATTCTCCTAGTGTGGATAAATTTTAAGTTACGTTCCTATTTACACATATAGACCTTATTGTTTAGTTAAGGAGCCCTGGTGGTGCAATGGTTAAGTGCTCAGCTGTTAACCAAAAGGTTAGCAGTTCAGACCCACCTAGTGGCTCTACCGGAGAAAGACCTGGCAGTCTGCTCCTGTAAAGATTACAGTCTGAAAAACCCTGTGGGGCAGTTCTACTCTGTCACATGGTGTTGCTATGAGTTGGAATCACTGGCACCTGACAACAACAGCATGGTTTACTTGTTTCAAAAGCTGGTAAAGCACTATTTAGATGTATTAAATGAATGATTTCAACAGTGATTAATGTGGAAATAAATGATGATACTTGTATCACTTGGTATAAACAGTTCCCTAATAAGATTACTAAACTTTTCTTAAATCTTAATTCTATGTAAAGTAAAAAATACCTTAATTGATGATTATGATGTTCTGTTTCCTCAATTTCCTTTTTTTATAAAGCACTTCCTGACAGATTTTTTTT